GTTGCTGGTCCCCAGTCTGGTACGGGGGCAACACTGAGGGTTGCGATCCGTTGCTGGACACGGAAAAAAGACAAAAAAAAAAAAAAAAGAAGAAGTCCCTCACCAGATGCACCCTCTGAACGTGGACTTCCCAGCCTCTGAACTGTAAGAATTAAATTTTGTTTCCTTATTTAAAAAAAAAAAGCATTTTTGACCTAAAACTTTTACTTCTAATCGTACATCATTGTGCATTATACATGTGCTAGGAAAAAACAACTTAACTATCTGTTGTGTTGAAATTCATTTTATCTCTCTCTAAATCTTAGAAACCAAACAGTTATTTGAATGTACATCATTGAACATTATACATGTGCTAGGAAAAAACAACTTAACTGTCTGTTGTGTTGAAATTCATTTTATCTCTCTCTAAATCTTAGAAACCAAACAGTTATTTGAAACTTGCAAAGTAGTTTATTGTTTTTTGTTTTAGCACAATTTAATGTCATTCTTTTTTTTTTCTTTCTTTTTTCCTTTTTTTTGCAGTCAGATAGGCATAAACATCAGTAATCACTTCTCAAACTTGGCACTATTGAAATTTAGGGCTATTTTTTTTTTTTTTTGGACAGCTGGCCCGGGAGGGGATTTGAACCCTTGACCTTGGTGTTATCATCACGATGCTCTAACTGAGTGAGGTAACTAGCCAGCCCTGACAGTTATCACTTCTAATGGCTGATGTAATTCTTGGTTTGAGGCAACAGGGACTATGAGCAAAAACTATTTACATGATTGTGATTTTTTTGCTGTGTTCTTATGTGATCAAAAATCTAAAACCAAACTTTATTATAGTAGTTTTCCTTTTTCAGGTTTATTATTTAATCTGTGTCTTCTACTTCATAATTTATGACCTTACAACCTTCCAAAATGACTCCAGTCGAGCACCATGAGCTAGGTCCAAACTGTTCTTTATATAGTTTATACATATATTTTATGCCATTTTCTATTTTTAAAGCAAATTATTATTACTACAGTCAGCCTAAGTGGTTATTAAAAGCTTCAGAACAATGAAAAATCCCAGTACCGTTGACAATCATTTTTTAAAGTAAACAAAACAATGTTTTTATATCTTAGTGATATGTGGCTTGTGTCCTATGAGAACTCTTAAATCTGCAAAATCTAATATATTCTATCAACTGCTTTGTCGTAGAAGCCATATTTATTTTTCTTTTATAATGTTTTCTAGTCTCAAACTGGACTCTAGGAAAAAAATATTATATCTGTGTCCTCTCTACAAACATTTTTTTGAGCATGTGCCCTGTACCCCATCAGGGAGTGTTTCTGGAAATACAAAGTTGATCAAGACCCGGTGCTGCTATAATAGAACTGACAGTCTAATTGGAGGGCTAACAAGTAACAACAATACTTACAAACCCTACAATAGAGTTATTTGCAAGTACTCAGTGTTCAGAAGTGTAAGAGGATTCATTCTGCCCAGAGAAAGCCTTATAGACAAGGTGATGAATGAGCTGCTTCACCTTCAGGGGTGAGTAGCCTCTGAAGATGGAGGAGAAGTCTTCCAAGTGCAGGGTACATCATTAACAAAAATGTAGAGGTGCTGTCAAGTGGGGGCTGGGGGGAGAGGGGAAATGGTGAAAACAGAATCCAGATGTGAACTTCAGGATGCATCCCACTTCCTCTGCCACTCACATGATCAGATGATTCTTTTGGACCAAGAGGGGATCTCCTACCCCAAATTCTATTTCTCACTCGTATTTCTAAGAAATAGCACACCGTGGATGCTCATTAAGTATTTCTTAACTTCTTCCTGTTACTATTGTTACTGAACTCAATGGAGTTTGCCTGCATGCAACAGAAAGCCAAAATCTGAAGCACTGGTCTTTGCAG